AGATGAAGCATATTTATGTCGTTTGGTATTCGAATAGGAGAATCCGTCCCGTCACACTGGGCTAGTAGGCTTAGGTTTATTGTAAAACCTCACGTATGTTTCTTGTATGCCAAGTCACGAATGTCTATACAAGCGTAACCCTATACATCAACACAATTATTCAATATATGACCAATGTATAAGACTGGGTGTTGGTCTAAATGGGTGATCATATGCAAACAGATTGAGATTATCTTCAAATCTCGCACTTTGAAGCTCATAGGTTTAGCAATCTGGACCGTTTAAGAAAGAAAGATATATAAGCATTGAAGAGAGATTATGTGTGAGATGGACCAATGAAATGGAACGAATAAAAGTCGTGAAATATAGTCCGAATTGTTAGATCTGTAAATTTCATAATGTGAGATTCGAAGAGGATTTATATGTAGTCATTCTCTTTAATATTATAATGTACTTACAAATGTTATAACCAAAATCATGTCCCCACCAATGTCTTAGGTACAAGCCATTGCATCCAACTCTATACAAGAACCACAACAGCTCAACTTTTAAGTCGGAAGTAAGGAAGGGTAAAGATGTAATCTTGTGCTGACCTTTCTCATGTTTGAGGCCAACCCTGGCCCACAAATGGTAACCGGTCCATAGGGTCCAATGGCTTTGCCACCAGGAGATGAGGACCTTCAAATCATTTTCCTAATAATTTCTTTTCTTAATTTCTACATTATTCTTCAGTCCCAGAAATATAATAATTGAAAGACCATAGTGGATGGTGGTAGGTGGTGATTGAGTCCACTTAAGAGTTTGAGTGAGTAGCGTGGGTCCACCTCCAAGCAAAAAAGTGACAATAGAATGAAAATATTTTTTTCCACCATCGTTAAGTAATTGTGATGCTTATTACTTATTTTTACTATCATTAAATGAATTTAGATTTTAATATTTGTGTAGTAGATAGATACAATTATCAAAATTTAAATTCAATAAACAATGATAAATAAGGTATTGAGTATTAAGACAACTTTAGAGTGATGAGAAAAAATACACCACAATGAAATTGGCATGTTAGGACTCATGAGGCTTTAGGTATGGGAAGGGTGGTCCTCCCTTTCCCCACTTCTTCAATTGAGGACCATTTTGGGAAGAACTATTTGGTATGTTGTCACAAGTTACAATCCTATATCATGTTGTGTGTGGATATTATATAATATATACTATGCATGTCTTGGTAGGTAAGCAATAGTATTAGTGCATGCCTTCATTTGGGCATCTTATATATTAACTACTATGTTTTGGGCATTAATCTTGAAAAGTCTCAACTAATGTGGTTCAACCTCCCTTACCTATCCTAATTATAATAATTCTTCATGAGAGAGATTGGATTATGTTGTGGAAAACATGGTGTAATCACTAATGAGAAACAAATTAACAAAATATTGCAGAAAGCATGCAAGTAGCGGAGGCAGCATGAGGTCATTGGTTCCACATAACCTCAACAACTTCATATTTTTCTTCTCTTTGAATTTATATATGACCTTTATAGACAATAATTCTCGGTGTACTTGTTTGTGACATTTACAATTATTTTACTACTTGTAACTGCTCTAGCTAAAAGATCTTTTTCAATTATGAATACCATGAAGAATTCACATAATGAATGAGAGATCAATGGTTGAATAATAGATTGGTTATACATTAAGAAATAACTTGTATTTGATTTTAGTGATAACGGTGTTGTGATATGACATTAGGGTATGGTTTAAGATAATAGACATTGTGATATGATGATGTTGTGATATGACATTCCCAAAACTTGTCGTGGAAAACAACATTTTTCCTATCAATTTGTTGGTAGGAAAGTTGCTCGTGGGAGTCGAAAGAAATTTATAACGCACACATAATCTTATTAGGGACAGCCTTAAGATAATACTACAGGACAAAACATGATATTTCCTATCAATTTGTTGGTATTTGTCACACTAAAAAGGCTTTAAACTCAATTTCGGAGTTTGTGAGCCAATTAATTGTAAAACATTGGGATAGATTAGATATGACATAGAAGAAAGTGAGTTAGGTGAATTGGTCCAGTCATCTCTAAGAAACCACATCAAGTTCAAAGTTGTTATGATATGATTTGAAGTTGGTAGAGTGGGAGAGGATATGGTTGACAAACCCACATTTTATTTGGAAGATGATGTAATTTACAAGGGATTGAAGAACCAATCAGTCTCGTTCTCCTGAACTTTACCGTTTAAAAAAATTATACTAACTTACTGTTTGATTTTAATCCAGCAATATGGGTAAAGAAATAAAACACAAACGTTCGTCTTCTTCCACCGTTAAGATAAGACCGATGATAGATGACCACACTTACTTTGAAACTATAAAATTAAGGAGATTAGTGTCGAAGAAATTAGTGCATAAGATTAAAATTGTTGTCATCTTTTTAATTAGTAAGCATTGTTGTCATCTTTTTAATAGACCATACAAAATGATCCAGTTGTGCTCAAAAGATGGTTGCTTGGCACCAAAAATCAAGGCGGCCAAGGCAAGCAAAACATAAATCAAACTAAACTATTGAGATGCAAATTTAAAATTGAGAAAAGCATAACCTTCTCTCTAAATTGATGGGGCACCTAATAGTAATAATTACTAGGAAATTTGGATAATACTAAAATAATAAGAAAGGGTGGTGAAGGTGGTGGAGTTTTGGTACCTAATCTTAGTGCTTGTGGTCACCTCAAGCGCACACCAAACTAAGAGAATAAAGACACTATGCTCCTTCCACAAATTCTATCTTGTAACTAATTAATGTTCGTTACGTCGTCAAGAAGTAAGTACTTGTCCAATAAAAGCTTTGACACATATCTTGTGCCACGAGAGAGATATTGGGAAGATTGAGTCGCTAGGGCAGCTCTAAATTCGATTCATACAATTTGGGAGATGTAGAATGAAAATACAAAGCTTTACTTTTACGAGAGTTGTTATACGAATGACGTGATCATAATCTCTTACTAAGTTTTTCCATGTCCTTCAAGCATACAACCGATAATATATATTTTTGTCTCAATATGTTTGTGAAACTTGTTTTGGTCACGTGATATGTGAATTAGAAAAGTATCGCGTGATGTGAGAAATAAAAGAAAAAAATTGATATACACACTCTCGTGGATAGCCAAAAAACCAGTTCTCAAGTAAATAATATATATTTATTTTTCATACATCACATAATAAGTGAAACAAGGTAAGTTATTATCCATCAAGTGCAAGTTGTGACATGGAGATAGGTCCAAAAGGACAAATTGGGAGCATTATTAGCTTTGTTGGTTGGTAGATGATGATGTGCCTTATCCTCCTCTACCATGAAAAGGCAGTGACGAACACTAGTGGTGAACGAGCTTGCACATAATAGCATTAAGATGAAATTAGCATGTTTCCAAAATATCAACATCCTTACACCATCTCCAATGGGAGATGCCAAGTCCCAAATTTAAGATATAGCAACGAAGTATTTGTCCAACCCAACCCATTTGATGCCAAAAAACCAATTGACAAGGACGCCTAGAATTGACACGATATGATGATAATTCTCTCATTTAATCTCTCTTTCCTTTTCTTCTTTCAGACTTGAACGGTTACGGTTAAGTCACGTTAAAATCTTATATTAATTTTTTATAGAGACATACAAAAAATAAAGTATGAGAGAAGAGAATGAAGGAGATTGGAATAAGAGGAGAGAAAATCCTACTTAAAAAGGAGAGACAATGGCTTTTTTTTTTTTTTTTTTTTATCCAAAACGTGTTATTCACTTCGTTGGGTTATCCCATTGCGAGTGAGGATTTCTACTATTTATACTAGTTTTGATGGGTTTTCTTGTGAAGCAGATGAGGGTTTGATCTTCTATTGGGATTTTACTTTATGTTTACACAACTATATTCTTAATTAATAATTTTAATCACAACAATCGCAACATCAGTGTTCATTTTTATTTTTGTCTTAATTCTTAGAAACATCTAACGGATGATATCAAATGTGATCAAATTTAATAGTGATGAATATGATCAAATGATCCCAATTTATATCAAGAGGCTAAAATAATAATTAAAAGTATTTAGCTCATAAGTCCATCAAACTTTGTCGGAAATTTGGATTGTTTTACTTATATTTTGTAAATCTCTACTAATTAATGAAACTTTATTTGTTAACCAAAAGAGGGTGAAAAGACAACTTAATCTTCTATCACACAAAAAAAATGATGGGCAATAATGTAATTTGAAAGGTCCAAATTTTATTGTTTTTTATTGAAATCTCACCTACGGGTGATGTTAAAATATCTCTAATATTTAAAATTAAAAAAAAAAAACCATAAACAAAAATCTCCCACACCCCCCCCCCACGTTCTCTCTCTCCTTCTTATTTTCTAAAAAAATATGTAGATAAATACTAGTATAAATAAAGATAACCTAAAGAAAAAAAAATTTAATAAAATATAAAATAATGCTAAAACACTTGTTGACACGTAATATAGCTAAATTGCTCAATTCAGCGCTAAAAGGTTGGAGAAGAAAAACAATTTGTCAATTCATAATTTGTCTTTTGCATGCCAAATTTTAGGAATTGACAACTCCCCATTGGAGTTGGTTAAGGAAAACCCTTAATGAGGAAATATGCTTTTGGATATTAGCTAATCGCTTGCTTTAAATTAATGGGGCAATAAATTGTGACATCATCTATCAATATCAAAAACCTTTAAAGATAACAGACTGAATCAATAGCTGAAAGTCACTTACGTGTGTGACGCCATCCCGAGCAAAATCTTAAACTAAATTGGAAAAAATGTTGGTGTACGCAGAGAAATAAAAAGTACATGTATGATTTAAAGCAAAATTGGGAAAAGGGTGCGCCCATGCCATAGTCAGAAGGCTAATAATCAGAAGCACTGATGAAAAGCAGCTGAAGCATGTACCATTTTTCAAACACAATGATGATATTATGCACATTCCAAATTATGATAAATAATAAAAATTAAATTATAGAAACAAAAAATTCTTTATTGATAATGACAACCACCTAAGTTAACAGAATGAATATATGAATAATACTAGGATTGATCCCACGAGGCCGGGTTTTTGATCGTTGATGTATATGAGTCCACTGAAACCCACGTACATCTACTCATCAATACATAATATCACGTGTCGGTGACTATGACTACCTCGAAATACAATATACAAATTGCTACCACAAAGAATAGTAACAAAATTTTAGTTAGTTTCAGATAAGAGTCAGTACAATGCTGGTGGAAGTTGCAGGCTGCAACAAATTTGGTGAACTAGAAGTCGGCGTCCAACTTGAAGACGAAATTTTTGCCACCATCTTGGAGGCCTGACATAACAGATGCTTTTTGATAGTCACCGACCCTTCTCTCGAAAAAGTTCGTCTTTCCTCTGCAGAATCAAGCAAACGAGATCAAGATCATTTATCCGTCAACCAGTTCCATGAATTGACTAAAGCAGGCAAAGCAAAACCACATTCTCAGAAATACTCACTGCAAAGAAATAAACTCCATCCAGTCAAAAGGATTTTTGACATTGTACTTCCTCTGACAACCTAACGCAACCTGGAAAGAAGAAACATTCTACTATATGAATATTGATACTAACGCGGAGAATACTTATACAAGTTAAACGCAACTCCCCTATCATCTAGGAATTAAAGAAATGAAAAACGAGGAAGACATCATCAGAGAGATACTTACCAAGAGTCGATCAGCAACATATTTTATGTACTGGCTCATAAGATCTGAGTTCATGCCAATCAATGCACATGGGAGGGCCTCACAAACAAATTCAGTCTCAATCTCAACAGCTTCATTTATAATTCCATGAACTTTTTCCCAATTTAGTTGCTTCTGCAACAAACTAATAACAAAACAAATATAGATTCTGTCATTTGCATATCGAGAATGGAAAAGAATTTTAAATCTCTCTTTTTTACCCAAGTTTCTCCAATTCCCGGATTCTGCAAGGACTAAAAGTAATAAACCACTGAGTTCTAAGAAGGTGAAAACAACACCATATAACTATTATCTTGTGCCTAGCAACACAGGAAGCTCAATTTTGGGAACCAGAAAGAAAATAGATATTACCTGTACAAAAGGCAAGCAAAATCACAGTGAAGACCCTCATCTCTAGATATAAGCTCGTTTGAGAATGTCAACCCGGGCATTAGTCCCCTCTTTTTAAGCCAGAATATGGCACAGAAGCTAAGAATGAACAATAAAGTAAAAAACAAGAGAGAAAAGGGTGATGAAAACAAAAGAAAAGATCCTACAAGCCTCATAACGAAAAGTATCAATTAAACATATAAACTTAAGCATATATAATGCAAGCCCAAATTACCTTCCAGAGAAAAAGATTCCTTCGACACACGCAAAAGCAACAAGTCTCTCCGCAAATGAATTGGAACTGCACATCATGCAGAATAAGAAATTGGTTTATGGAGCATTAACATGCTTCTAATCAAACAAAGATTATGTACAAGCTACACATGAAGCTTGATGAGAACAAGCAGACAGGGTATAGAAAGGCGCCTTCTAATTTGCAGAGTGAAGCAGATGGTACTAAGTTTGAATCTTGTGATATCAACATATGATACAGCATAGACTACTGAAGGAGCTCTTCGTTTTGTTAGAAACTGAATGATAGATGGTTAAAGAGCCACTCCCGTTTTCCCTATACGCATAAACCTCCTCTTTGGAAAGACCAAGTGAATGTTAAAAACCCACTCCCCTTTCCAATACCATACACACTTGAAGGTTGAACTGACAGTCATTACGTATAATTTCACACAGAAGGAAGTTCAAAATTACTGCAGATGTCCAATACCGAAGTTTGACATAAATGGCCATCCTACGCATCTAAACAATCTGTTCTCTTCTCAAACAAAATCTAAACATTTAATCTTTGAAAGGACCAGAGGACTTCTATATTAAAAATTCAAGTACCTGAGTTGTACAAATTAATGCTCATATACTACTGCTTGTGATCGCATATATCATTCACAAACATGTCCAACCATACAAAATTGTCAAAACGTACTATCTCCCTTATTGGCGATATTATATTCACTCATAGGAAAGCATGAGTACCTGTGTATCCAATCCAAAGCCCACTTAGCCTTCTTAGACACACAAGGAATGCTTTCAATTGCATTGAACAATCTATGCTTCTCCGTAGAATCCTTGATGTATGTCTCCAAAAGCAGCTGTACATCTCTGATGGTAGACAGTATTTAAATAGGAACAAGGAGAAAATTCCTTAGACAGGTGGCCATATACATTACAACTAAGGAAACCAGAGAAACTATGTTTTAAGCTCTACCCTGAATGGATATTCTCCATTGCAAGTTGAAATCCATAGAATGCCCGAGCCTGTGAAGAATGAGAAACCTTGATGTTAGTAAGTCAACCAGGAGAAAAAAAAAAAAAAAAACTAAATATCTGAATCTTAGGGGGTGAAACTAAGGAGATGAAAAGTTGAAACTTAGGTCTTGGGAACTTCAAACACTCTTCGCATCTTATCTAAAGAACAGACCAGAGAAAAGAAATCACCTCTGGAATCTGAACATCAGTTAGAAATCTTGCAGCCAAATTCTCCAAAACAATCCCATCAGATGCAGCAAAAAATGCAAGGACATGGCTTATAAAGTGTCTTTCAGAGTCAGACAAAGTGTCCCACTGCTGTATATCATGGGAGAGATCAACCTCCTCAGCTGTAAGCCAATTAACATGTCATTAGAACATATACCATGGCAAAAAAAAAAAAAAAAAAAAAAAAAAACGGAACATCTACTCAACAGTATAACATTGATAGGATACCAGAAAAGGTATAAACAAATTAGTGCGTATGAGTATAATTCTACTAGCTCAAGGGACCCTTGTTAAATGTTTGACACTTGTCAATAGATTAGAAAGATTAGTTGTGGTGGTAATTGTTGTAAAAGCTTAGCTTGCAAGTCTGAGCTTGATATATATCAGACTAATTGTGCAAGGAGGGTTGTTGTTAAAAAACTACATTGTTGTGGATAAATACAAACACAGTTTCCATGCCATGCGTGAAGGTTAGAACAAGGTTCTTATTAAACATAAGGAATCAAGTTGCTGAAATAAATGCCTTATGCCCACATTCTACACCCGCCAACGACTAGAGCTGTCCGGTAGAAGGTGAAGAACTTATATGCTCGAGATTGTAGACTCAGAATTCTCCAGAGTAAGACACTATATGCTAGTGCTATTTACCACAAACACAAACCAAGTAAATCAGAGGCAATGCTACCCACTTATACATGTATTTGACATATCAATATGCCTTCAGACATCATATTGCAGTTGAAATTCGCAGCCCCCAAAGGGTTTGCGTTCGAAAATGTTCCGATTTTGTTGGATTTTCATACAGTTTGATAATTTCTTCTTCATGTAACAATTCAAAAACAAGTAATGTACAATAAACTTAAGAGAGAGAATAAAGGATAAATAATTTATTTCCCAAAGCACAAGAAAATCCCAAATTTGTTCCCCTTAAGAGAGACAATGCAGACGCCATGACTATAATTTTTAACTAATATTCTTGCGGATCCATTTAAGGAAAAGAAGATACTACTTTCATGAACCAACAGTAACAATATCTTCCAAGTAATTACACAGCTGAATTTTGGAACCAAAATAAAAGAATTAAAAAACCCCACCTCATATTTCTTTTAAATTCCAACAAAGACAAAGGGAAAAACACTAACATTGCACAGATACAAAAACAAAAAGTAATGAACTTGAAGAAAATAAAGAAATACCCACTTCAAAACACATACAGAAAAGCATGAAAAAACCAAAATTCAAAAGAAAATATGGGAACCTTTGTTGTTTCTTACAAGGAGGATTAAAAGAGGGAAATATGAACAAGTTACCAGTCCAAAAACTGAACTTTGAAAAATTAACAGAAACCCACTTCAGAAAACACACAGATAAGCAAGAAAACACCACAATTCACAACAAATATTTAGAGTATTTTCCCTGGTTTTCAAAAAATGATTAAACTTTAAAGAGGTAAAAACGAAGAAGTTACCACTTACCAGTCCAGAAACTGGCCAAGGCCTTCTTGTACATCTCCCAGACTTGCTTGTACCGAACAGGAAACATACAGAACCTCTGCGTCTGCTCCATTAATATCGGCTCCTCCTCCTCCTCCTTCTCTGCTCCTTTTTCTCCATTTGGTCTCTCTCTCCCATTTCCCAAAGAACCCATGTTTTTGCAGTTTCCAGATGTTGGGTTTTGTGGGGGCTAAGGAGAAACCCTACAAAAACCTTCACGCTAGAAAAAATCACTGAGGATGTTGAATTTTGATGGGATAGCGTATCAGACAAGGCCGGTCGAAGATAGATTTTTATTTTATTTTTATTTTTTAAATTATATTTATTTTTGTTCGTTTTCGTGCATGGTGGTTTATGTTTGGGATTCCATTTGCGACCGGCACGGAATTTCTGTATAAACGGCGACGTAGTGAGGACGGTTATATTTTTGGCGGGTTGGGCCAGTCGCTTTTAGCCTTGTGAGAACTGGGCTCTGTAAAAGAAAAAAAGAACCCAATTTTGGCGGGTTTGGAACTGCTTCTCTGATTGCCCGGTTTTTTACGTTATTTTGCTACACAGGGGAAGAAAGAATGTCAAGCTCCGAGTGCTGCTCAAACCCTCCGACCCTGAACCCCTCCAGCGGCACCGGCCATGTCGAAAACCTCGGCGGTCTCGACTCCTATGTCACTGGCTCCCCTCACTCCAAACTTGCCCTTCTCCTCGTCTCTGACGTTTTTGGTAACTTTCCCACCACTTCAAAAACCTCTCCTTTTTCGTTCAACGACATGGGTTTCTTTCCTTATTGTGTTATTTTTATGGGTTTTTGGTTTAATGGGTATTCATTTTTAGGCTGTGTTTGTTGATGGGTTTCCTAAATTTATGATATTTTCCATTCCTATTGAATTTTTGGATTTTCTTTCCTCCTTTTCTGATTAAGTCTTGATATTCTAGGTTATGCGATGTTCATTTCTGTGATGAAAGTTTGTGTCTTGTATAACTGCTTTGTAGTGTTAAATGTTTGCTTTGTCATGCAGGATTTGAAGCTCCAAACTTGAGGTATGATGACTAGTTGACTACTCTCTTTATTGGTCTTTCGACTGCTAATTTTATTTGCAGTGGATAATGTGCTAGATGAATTTTACGAATCGCTTTTACTTGAATCCGAACGTTTTATGCTGTCCCTTTTCGCTTTCGGATATTGACTTGGGGACATTAGTTACAGTCGCTGGTTAAATGTGATGAATAATTTACTTGAAATTTTACAATTATTAAGGAAGGAAAAAAAAGTTACAGTAGGTCTATAATCTATATGATTCTATATCTATATCTAACTTAATTTTGAAAGATAGTTACAACCAATAGTTTCGGATTGTATATCAGTATGAGATATTGTCCGATCCCCTGCCTATACAATGACGTTTTATGATAATTTGAAGATCTATAACTGTATTTTTAGGTTGTTCACTCTATAATCTATAGAACGATAAAATTTCACATGCTGGTTACCGACATCAGCTATTTTCATCGAAGAACAAAACTGTGGCATCACTTTGTAGTTTCTGTGTTTCCACAATATTGTATACCCTTTAACTAATGCCACCTGCCTTCCATTTTGAAGGAAGCTTGCTGATAAAGTAGCAGCTGCTGGGTTCTTCGTTGTGGTTCCCGACTTCTTTAACAAAGACCCTTATGCACCTGAAGATGCCAATAGACCTCTTCCTGTTTGGATAAAAGATCATAGACCGGTTGGTTCTTTTGTTCTTATGTCTACTTTTATGCATATCTGTTTTGTTTCTTTAATGATCGAAGTACTTTTACAAGTCTCCCTATGCAATTCTTGAGTTTACTAAAATATTTTAGATGCTTATCTGTGCGGGTTCAGCTTGGCAATCCCATGATTATTTATGTCAAAACTTTTTATGGTTGTTCACTACTAGGCTGATTCCACCTTTTGTGACAATGGTTAAGTTACGAGTCCCTAGCATTGGGGTGTTATAAAACTTTCTCTGCAATTTGGGTATGTTCAAGTATTGTCAGCTTCTGAATCATGTTTTTGGATTGATAGGACAAGGGATTTGAGGATGCAAAGCTAGTTCTTGAAGCTTTAAAAAGAAAAGGCGTTTCTTCAATCGGTGCTGCAGGCTTCTGTTGGGGAGGTGAGTTCACTTTCCTTTCCTGTTAACATCTTGGTTGCTCTATTTTATTTTTCCTTATCTCCATAATCCATTTACTTTGTGGGTTATTTGTTGCTTTTTCAGTGTAACAAAAATGTTTCTCGTTTGGACTTTTGGCTAATGTTTAGGCAGTGTTTTACTTATCGCTTAGACATTTGGCTAATGTTTAGGCAGTGTTTTACTTATCACTCTTGTTTCAATAGCTCAACCAATATGGAAAATATTGTTTCGGTCGACATTGAACTATTTGCACTGTTTTCAGCCAAGGTTGTGGTTGAACTTGCAAAGCGCGCTTTAATTCAAGCTGCTGTTCTGTGTCATCCTACATTTGTCACTGTGGATGATATAAAGGGTAAGATATCTGTATTAATATTCAGGAAATATCTACTTAGACACCATTATTGGAACAAAAAGTTAGTCTTACACTCGACCATTCCTGGAACTACTTTCAGAGGTTAAGGTTCCTATTTCTATACTTGGAGCTGAGTTTGATCAGATATCTCCACCTGAAGTTGTGAAACAGTTTGAAGAGGTTTTAACTGCAAAATCTGAGGTAGGAATATATCTTTCATCCGAACAGTCTTCAGTACTTGTGCTTTTGTTAGTTTGTTTATTCTAGTCACGGACATTCCTCAACTTGAGATGCCATAATGAAATATAATTGTGCTTGGCTTGTAGTTATAGGTAACTTGCCCTTACAAAAATGACTTGTAACTTTGTAAGGGAAGGGTGCCAGAGAGCTTATATGTTATGAACTTCAATCACAGTCGTACACCATTTTATATGAACTTCAAAAACATTTTAATTTTGTTCTCTGTGAAGAAATGATAGGACAACACCAGGAGCACACACCCCCTTCACATTAGGGTTCACCACAGTGGTAGCTTGTAGTGGCAAACTTTTGAAATTTGTTGAAAAGATGGTTGGTTTTGTGGAATCACAGGTTAAGAGCCGTGTGAAGATATTCCCGAAAGTGCCACACGGGTGGACGGTGAGATACAATGTTGAAGACGAAGCAGCTTGTAAATCTGCCGAGGAGGCTCATCAAGACTTGTTGGAGTGGCTCATGAACCATGTCAAGGGAGTGACATCATCACTGTAGTGGATTTCCTTATCCTATCAGCTGCTTTCTATTGGTAGTGGTTAAATAATGCCTCTGGAGTTCTATGAACTAGTGTTTGATTGTAAAGTTGTGTAGTTTGAACTGACGGTCCTCGACCGGCCTCCTCCATGTAACCCGGAAGAACCTCCAACACCATTTTTGGTGTCATGTAAGTATAGTACTAGTTGGAGATGCCCAATGGGTTATGCCCCCCACCAAAAAAGAGAGCTTTATAAACTTCATGATTTTGTTTCCTGCACCTAATAACCAGTTTTCAAACTTTGGTTGGGAACATAGGGGAAGTACAAAGGAGAAAAAGAGAAACTAAATGATGTGTCGTTAATAAGAAATAAACACGTGAATCGACACTTAAATAATAATTCAATCATCAATATGTGCTTACATATTTTACCTTCTTTCTTCAATGTTTCGCATTACATAATTGGAATGACTGTTCGTTTTATGAAATCGCAGATTGAAAGCCATGTGAAGAATTTTCCGAAAGTGGAACACGAAGTAAGATGTTGAAGACAAAGCAGCTTGTAAGACTGCCGAAGAGGACCATCAAGACTTGTTGGAGTGGCTCTTGAACCATGTCGAGTGACTGGTATTGTTATCATTGTGAAACATTTTATTGTTTCTGAAAGACAAGAATTATTTAAACTTTATCGTATCAACAACGTTCTATTACTATGAATCAGAATAATGCCAACACTTTTTATAGTACCGGTATTTGTATGTAAAATTCATTGCTTGGAAGGGTAGAGGTTTGAGAACGTGCTTTTAGGCTTGGCATTTGGCGAGTGGTATAATTTAAGCTAATAAGTTTGATGAAGTTGATTAGTGCATCATAAAAATAAAAAATTAAAAAAAAATCTAAATCGAATTAGGCTTACGTTATTCAGTCATTACAAAAATAAAGAATTCAATAAAAATAAAATATAAAAAAGTCCCACACGTACTTGAAATTCAATGAGAATCAATCAAAACAAAAAAGAATTGATAATTTTTTGCAGAAATATTCACGAAATTTAATTGTTTGGAATGTAAATGGAAGATAGGAATGGACGGGTGATATTTTCTTTTTATTTAATTTGTAATTTTTTAAAACAAGTTGAAAGTTCAACCCCCCAAAAAAAAAAACAAAAAAAAAAAAAAAAACAGTTCACCTTATCGTCATTGATGACGTGATAGTACTGTACTATTTAATAATTTTTTATATTTAAATATAGTCTCCGCCGTCCTAGCTCAAAGAGTGATAAGGAAAGAAATCATGGCAAGCCCTGAGTGCTGCTCAAACCCTCCGACCCTCAACCCCTCCAGCGGCACCGGCCATGTCGAAACCCTCGGCGGTCTCGACTCCTATGTGACTGGCTCCCTTGATTCCAACCTTGCTGTTCTTCTCATCTCTGACGTTTTTGGTAACTTTCCCACCACTTATAAAACCTCTCTTTTCTTCGTTCTACGACATGGGTTTGTTCCCTTGTTGTCTATTTTTATATGGGTTTTTGGTTTAATGGGTATTCATTTTTAGGCTATATTTGTTGATTGGTGTCCGAATTTATGACATTTTCCTTTCCCCTTTGAATTTTTGGATTTTTTTCCCCTCCAATTCTGACAAAGTCTTGATAATCTAGCTTATGTGATGTTCATTTCTGTGATGAAAGTGTGTGTTTTGTATAACTGCTTTGTAATGTTGAATGTTTGCTTTGTCATTCAGGATTTGAAGCTCCAAACTTGAGGTATGATGACTTCTCGCTTGGATATTTACACTTGCTGCTTAAATTTGATGACCACTTTACTGGAAATTGTACAATCGTTAAGGAAGAAAAAAAAAAAAAAAACAAAGTTACAGTAGGTCTGTAATCTATGATTCTATATCTATGACTTATTTTTGAAAGATAGTCACAACCAATAGTTTCGGATTGTCTATCAGTATCAGATATCGTATAACAATTGTCGGATCCTCTGACTTTACAATAACCTTTCATGACGGTTTGAAGATCTATACCTGTATTTTTAGATTATTCACTCTATAATTTATAGAAGGATAAAATTTCATGTGCCAGTTACCGACTTCAGATATTTTCATGTTGTTCAGTGTTTCCATAATATCCTGTACACTATAACTAATGCCACCTGCCTTCCATTGTGAAGGAAGCTTGCTGACAAAGTTGCAGCTGCTGGGTTCTTCGTTGTGGTTCCCGACTTCCTTAACAAAGACCCTTATGCGCCTGAAGATGCCAACAGACCTGTTTCTGTTTGGATAAAGGATCATGGACCGGTTGGTTCTTTTGTTATTGTGTCTACTTTTATGCATATCTGTTTTGTTTCTTTAACGATCAAAGTACTTTTACAAGTCTCCCTATGCAATTCTTGAGTTTAAAAAATATTTTATATGCTTATGTGTGTGGGTTCAGCTTGGGAGTCGCATGAAGACTGTTGTTATGTTAAAACTTTTTATGGTTGTTCACTACTAGGCTGATTCCCACCTTTTGTGACAATGGTTAAATTACGAGTCCCTGGCATTGGGGTGTTATAAAAGTTTTTCTGCAGTTTGGATATGTTCAAGTATTGTTAGCTTCTGAAGCTTGTTTTGGGATTGATAGGACAAGGGATTTGAGGATGCAAAGCCAGTTCTTGAAGCTTTAAAAAGTAAAGGTGTTTCTGCAATTGGTGCTGCAGGCTTCTGTTGGGGGGGTGAGTTCACGTTCATTTCTTGTTAACATCTTAGTTGCTCTATTTCATTTTTCCTTATATATATATTTAATTTGTTGCTTTTTGAGTGTAACAAAAATGTTTCTCGTTTAGACATTTGGATAATGTTTAGGCAATGTTTTTACTTATCACTCTTGTTTCAGTAGTTCAACCAATATGGAAAATATTGTTTCGGTTGACATTGAACTATTTGCGCTGTTTTCAGCCAAGGTTGTGGTTGAACTTTCAAAGCACGCTTTAATTCAAGCTGCTGTTCTGTGTCATCCGTCATTAGTCACTGTGGATGATATCAAGGGTAAGATACCTGTACTAATATTCAGGAAATATCTACACCATTATTGGAACAAAAAATTAGTCTCACACTCACTTTATGATCTATTCCTGGACTTACTTTCAGAGGTTAAGGTTCCTATTTCTATACTTGGAGCTGAGATTGATCGGATGTCTCCGCCTGAAGTTGTGAGACAGTTTGAAGAGGTTTTAACTACAAAACCTGAGGTAGGAATCTCCTTCATCCGAACAGTCTTCAATACTTTTGTGGCTTTGTTAGTTTGTTTATTCTAATCGTCGACATTCCTCAACTTGGGATGTGTGGCGAACTTTTTCTATCATATTATGAATATAATTGTGCATGGCTTATAGTTATAGGTAACTTGCCCTTACAAAAACGACTTGTAAGGGAAGGGGGCCAGAGAGCTTATATGCTACGATAAGATATTCTGTTTTAATTTCCAATCAGGGTCATATACCGTTTTGTACGAACTTTGAAGAAATGATAGGACAACACCAAAAACACCCCCCTTCACATTGGGATTCACCACTGTGGTAGCTTGTAGTGGTAAACTTTTGAAATTTGTTGAAACGATTGTTGGTTTTGTGGAATCATAGGTTAAGAGCCATGTGAAAATATTCCCGAAAGTGTCGCATGGGTGGACGGTGAGGTACAGTGTTGAAGACGAAGCAGCTTGTAAATCTGCCGAGGAGGCTCATCAAGATTTGTTGAAGTGGTTCTTGAACCATGTCAAGTGAGTGGCCTCATCAAGATTTGTTGAAGTGGTTTTCCTTAACAGCTGCTGTCTATTAGTAATGGATAAATAATGCCTCTGGAGTTTTATGTTCGTATTTGTTTTTAAAGTTTTGTAATAGAATTTTACGGCTTAATTTTCATGTATTCCATAATTCTGAATATAAGTGCGTACAATTCTTATTACATAAGGAAACAATAAGGGACACTAATATTTCCTTCCTAAAACATGACTAATATTTACACAATATTTACATTCCCTTTTCCTATACATTGACTCACGCAATACTCCCCTCTCAAGTTGGTGCATAGATATCCCACATGCCCAACTTGATAGGTGAGTCATCAAAAACTCTACTACACACGGCATGAGTAAGAACATGTGCAAGTTGTTCTTCCGAGTTCAGAAACGGTATTGAAACAATCTTCTCAAGCTTTTCTTTAATGAAATGTCGATCAACCTCAACATACTTAGTCCTATCATGTTGTACTGGATTCTCTACCCTCTCTCTTGCCGACTTGTCACAATACAATTTCATTGCCTCTTCTTGTTTAAATCTGAGACTCTAAAGCAACTTCCGTAGCCAAAGAATCTCACACACACCATGCACCATGCCCCTGTATTCGGCCTCGGCAAAAGATCGAGACACCACCTTCTGTTTCTTGCTCCGCCAACGAATGTAAAATATCCAGACATAGAACGCCTATCAGTCACATCACCTGCCCAATCAGCATCAGTAAACCCCTCAATCCTCATGTGTCCATGAGGCTTATACAGAATTCCTTTTCCAGGAGCAGACTTTAAATACACAAGAATCCTCATAACTGCCGCCATATGCTCCACACTCGGCGAGTGCATAAACTGACTCACCATACTTTCTGCATAGGCAATATCCGGACGAGTGCATGACAAATAAATTAGTCTCCCTACCAGTCTCTAATATCTACCTTTGTCAACCGGTTCTTGATCTGGATCAATTCCTAAATAATGCTTCTTTACAATAGGAGTGTCCACTGGTTTACATCCCAGCATGCCTGTCTCTTTTAATAAATCCATAATATATTTACGTTGAGACAAGAAAATACCTCAAGATGAACTAGCCACTTCTACTCCAAGAAAATATTTTGTCTCCCAAATTCTTCATCTTGAACTTGGCGGCAAGACTTGCTTCCAGCTTCATCATCTCTTCCGAATCATCACCTGTTATTATCATATCATCCACATAAATAATTAAGGTTGTCACTTTACTGCATCTCCGTTTTACAAACAATGTATGGTCGGAGTGACCTTGATAACATCCATTCCTTCTCATAACTTGAGTAAATCTACCAAACCATGCATGAGGTGATTGCTTAAGTCCATAAAGCGACTTTTGCAACCTACGTACTCAGGTTTTCCCTTCGGCATTATACCTAGAGGAAAATCCATATACACTTCTTCTTCCAAATGCCCATGAAGAAAAACATTTTTAACATCAAATTGTTTCAGTGGCCAATTCAAATTTGCAGCTATTGAAATAAGAACCCATATTGTATTCATCTTTGCTACTAAAGAAAATGTTTCCTGGTAATCAACACCATATGTTTGAGTATAACCTTTTGCCACTAACCTTGCTTTATACCTGTCTATTGATCTGTCGGCCTTGTATTTAATTGTAAAGACCCATCTACATCCGACCGGCCTTTTCCCCTTCGATAGTTTGATTACTTCCCATGTATCATTCTTATGTAGTGCCATCATTTCTTCATCCATTGCATCAACCCATTTTGGATCCTTCAATGCCTCCTCAACTCGGGTTGGTACTTGAATTGCTTCCACATTATTCACCCATGCTTGACGTTCCGGTGCAAGGTTCTTGCATGACACATAATTTGCTATTGGATACTTCATTTTTCCTTTAGGAAAAAACCTGTCATGTGGAACACCATGATTTTACCTTAGTGGCAACTTATATGTACTTACAACATTATTTGGATTAGTTACATGATTATCCGTTGTACTTACCTTAGGGATATTCAAAGAAGACACATTGGGTAGCGAGCTAGAGAGAGAGAGGGTAATGTAGGTTCAACAAATAACACTCTTTCCCCTATTGCACTTGGTTCGGCAACAACTAGTTGTTGGGCAGTTGGACTTAGATCGGCAGGACTTTAACGATCTGTTATACCTGTCTCGGCAGACTTTCGCTGATCTTCTCTACTTATCTCGGTAGAGTCTTGTCGAACTGCTACACCTATCTTGACAGACAACAGCTGAGGTGGTTGGTTCATTATCTCGGCAACTTCTTGCCAATTCCCTTGATTTTCATTATCGTCAACACATGCAAGCCCCTGAACTACATATCACACTTTCTGGTATCTCTAACCATCCAAGATCATTCTGATCACCACTAGTGTTCTCCCCCTGGTGATCTGAATATGACGGGGTAGAAGAATAAAAATACTCGGATTCAGAAAAAGTAACATCTATGGTCACATACATATGGCGAGTTTCAGGATGATAACACTTGTACCCTTTTTGTTGAGAGGTAAACTGAACAAAACCACATCGAATGGCACACGAATCCAATTTGCTACGATGAATCTTGTGGATATGAACAGATGCGACACATCCAAACACATGAGGAGTTAAAGTATTGGTAGATACTATGGGAACATGTTCGGTTAAGACTTGGAGAAGTGTACGGAAATCCACAACCCAAGATGGCATACAGTTAATCATATACACGGCATATGTAACATCTTCAAGCCAAAAACGTTTAGGGATGAACATACTAATAAGCAAGGCACGAGCAGTTTCCAAAATATGACGATTCTTTCTCCCAACAACTATATAAAGACAATGACGACCACTTGCTCCATTAGCAGCACGCTCTTTGGCACGTAACTTTTTCTTTAATTCCGGAAACCACTCGGGGACTCCATGTTTTTTAATACAGTTATCCTCAGTATGATGGGTTTGATCGCAGAAAGTACACTTTAAATCATCTTTATTTTCTGGAGTAAAAGGAAGAGAAGTTGTTGATGAAAGTGATGCAAATGGGCGCCCAGTAGGGAATGGCCGAGGCACTATGGCTACCGTCGATGTCAAGGCTCTCCCTTGGCTGCTGACACCATTTCCTCCCATCATGGTAGCATGATGTTAGGCTTCACGCCTAATCACAGAAAACACCTCCTCGACAGATGGTAGGAATATCACTACGTACCTTATCAAATACATCATCAAGTCCCGCCAAAAAGGCATACACTCGGTCCAATTGGATCTCTTCTCGACGTGTCTTCAAATCAAGAGCAAACTCCATCTTAATCGGTCTTCTTTGATCCAGTTCTTGCCATACTGCCTTGAGATCGGCATAGTACATAACAATAAGACGCCCTTCTTGATGGAGTCGAAACGATTTTACCTTCAACTCATAAATCTAAGAGATATCAGAACCATCATAATATGTCCTAGCAACTTCTTCCCACACTTCTTTAGCAGTACGAAGATGGATGAAAAAACCCATGATGGTAGAATCCATGGAATTAATCAACCACCATTTCACAATTGCATTCCCAATTTCCCAAGCTTCATACTCAGCATTTTCTTGCTTGGGCTCCTTATATTCCCTATCACGAACCCTTTCTTACCACACCCAGCAATATGCATCTCCAATATTTTGGACCAAATAGGGTAATTTGATCCATTGAGCTTTACGGTATTCGGTACGTTTGAAGCATCAATATGTATCACAACATGGCTCACAACTAAATTGTTGGTGGTTGTACGTAGACCCCCTCCAACTTCAGCCGTGAGTTTTCTTCGACATTGGCCATCTTGATTCACGACACACACAGCAGCGTGACAATTTCCTGCAAATAGCAAAAAAAAGAAACACGGCAGGGACACAAGACCCACGACAGGGCAGCAATCATAGCCCTTGCAGTAGTGGCACGATACATAAATTGTTTTCCAGTCAAGGTTACATCAACAAGGTTTCGATGCCAAATAGAATTTTACTGCTTAATTTCCATGTATGCCATAATTCTAAATATAAGTACATACAATCCTTATTACATAAGGAAACAATAAAGGACACTAATATTACCTTCCTAAAAAATGACTGTAATATTTACATTCCCTTTTCCTATACATTGACTCATGCAATAGTTTGAACTGAAGGTTCTGGACCGGTCTCCTCCATGTAACCCGTAGTGACCCCCATCACCATTTGGGTGTCATGTAAGTATAGTACTAGTTGGAGATGCCCTATAGGTTGTGCTGCCCACACCCCCCCCCACCCCCCCCCCCCCCCCAAAAAAAAACCAAAAAAGAGAGTTTTATAAACTTGATAATTTTGTTTCCGATACATGATAACAGTTTTCACATTTTGGTTTGGAACAGAAGGGAAATACAAAAGAGAAAAGAGGGATGAACAAATGTAAAAGAATGTTGGTGGAACCACAAGAAATGTGTGCAGTAGAGAGTGCAGTTTGAAAATTAAAAACTTGAAAACATATTTATTTATATACACAAATTACTAATCACTATTATCGATAATTACCTAACTAATCATTTTTACACTAATTAACTTGTTGAGCTGTCACTTGGTTTTCAATAGAAGATGCATGCTAACAAATATGTCCCCACCTGAAGTCGTGCAACAATTTGAGGACACTTTAACTGCAAAATATGAGGTAGGAAATGAGTCTAGATCATTGCCGTATCCTCTTTGTGAGGATCCCGAGAATCCGTAAATCATGTTCGTTCATCGTATATCATGCAGTCAAAAATCATTTTAAATATTTTAATTTAAAAATAACATAAACAATTTTGACAAAAACTGACCGCACGATGTACAATAAATGGACACGATTCACAAATCCTCAGGATCCTCACCAAAAGATCTGGAGAGGACCGTGTTGGATAGGAAATATCCTTCATGGAAACACTCTTGTTAGGTTGCAAGATCCCCACACAACTCTTCTTGCGGGTTGCAAACACTAAGTTAATTGAAGGTGTCTTGACAAAACCTTGAATAGGCTCTTAGGCTTTCTTGCAAAGTTAGTTATTGTCAAGCATGCCATTACTGGTCAAGTCCAACAGGTTGTTTAATTAGTTTAGATGTTTACAGGTCATTTGTTGATGTGCAAGTAAACTGAGTCTCTTAGAAAAGATTGTTTAATGGAGGGGTTAAATCCATATT